AAAAAAAAAAAAACTTACCTGTCCCGTAGCTGGACGCGTAAGCGTCCACATACGGGCCTTGTGGAAGTCACATCGCCGAGGTAAGTGGTTCATCTGCTTTTGTTTTCTTTTTTTTTGTTTGTTATTTTGTCATTTTTTCTCTCAGTTTTGCTACTAGGGCGGAACGGCGTGTCGAGAGGGCAGCCGTTGGGTCAGAAAAAAAAGAAAAGAAAGACAAAGAATAAAAAAAAGGGAAAAAAAAAGGGGTGAAGCGCCATCTGGCGCGCTATGAAGTGACTGGGGACTTGAAGTCCCCAGCGGTTTGACAGGCGACCGTTTAAAACGGGCAGTAGTGGTTGTCCTTTTTTGTTTGTTTGTTTGTTTGTTTTAATCTGTTTAGATTTTTCTTTTTCTTAGATTTTGTTTAGATTTTTTTGTCTCGTTTCTTTCTTTCTGTCTGTCGTTTTGGGTGCCCGTTCGTTTCGAACGAACGGGACTTAACTGCACCAGACTGTTTCGTCGGATTCGCACCGACTCATCAGGAGGCTGAGCCTCAACAGCCTGGTCGGGTGCGAATGGATCCACCCTTGATCGTGGATCTATACACCGCCGCGGAGTGTGTGTGTGTGTGTGTGAGAGAGAGAGAGAGACACTTACCTGCGCCCGTTGGCTGAGCAACGGGCTGCAGGCCGCCGCCTGCACCTGGCGCTGTAGGCGTCCAGGTACAGGCGCGCGGGGGCAATAGGGGAAGAAGACCCTGTTGAGCTTGACTCTAGTACGACTCTGTGAAATGACTTTGAAAGGGGGGGAAGTGCTCGTTCGTTTTCGAACGACGAGCCCCTGCCTTAAAAAAAGAAAAAAGAAAAAAAGGGGGCCGCGGATTTGGTCGTGGCCTCTGTCCAGATGCAAGGTCCAGAAACATTTGGACGTTGATAGGGCAGCAGACTGTTGGTTTCAACAGTCTGCTCATAAATGGTTGAGTACAGCCATTTCTGTGGTGCGTCTGGCCGTGGGTGATGGCCAGATGCATTCCCAGAGGCTTGAACTTGGTTCCCCTAGGGGAACATCAAGTTTTGCAGCCCTTGATCGCGTTTAAGATCAAGGGTCAGGCCTCATTCCGAGTTCTGGCTGTGGGCAAAGCAGCTGCCCACATGTTCTCAGCTGGCTATTAAAGCCAGCAGTCCACCCAGCAGCCTCACAAGTTGTGGCAATGCTGCTGAGGCATTCACTTGAGTGAATGCTGGCTGGGTGCTGCTGGTGGAGATGCTGGAGCTGCTGGCGAAGGAGGAGGTCTGCAAGAAGGAGTGGAGGGGGAGGGGGAGGCTTCCATAGCCACCACCTTGGTGCAAGCGGTGCAGGGGGAAACTCTGCCCGGCGGCGGCAGGGGTTCGGCTGGCGGTGTAGGGGAGATGCTGCATGGCTTTTGGCGGCGGCATCCATCATTGAAGTCTGTAGAAGAGGTGTTGTCCGATTGGCACGGCGACCGCGGTGCTTTTATTAGCGGTAGTGCGGAAGCGCTGCCGAAATTTTGCGGCGGCAGCATTGGGGTCGACGGCGGTTATGCGGAAACGCTACCAATGGCATGCGACACCTGAAAGGCTGGTCGAGACCAATTTTTTACGGCACGTTGGGCAAGAGGGGTTTGAGTTGGGACCACCAAGTATTGCGGCGATGGTGTGGGACTATCTGGGACCATTCTGGGACCAAGTGAGTGAGGAGTGAGACGGGAAATGAGTATTGTGGAGGCGTGCGGTGATCTGACTTGGCAATCGGTGGGGGTTGGAGTGAAGATTGAGCTGACGCTGTTCCTTGTAGGAGGTATGTCGTTGAGACTATAGTGAGGCCGTGTGAGATTTGAGAGTGGCGGTACTCTTCTCAATGGCAAGCTTGCTTTGTCTTGATAAGCGGCGCCTGGGTCAGTGGTGGTGGCACTTGAAGAGGAGCATGGTTTATTTTTGTAAGCAGGCCACAACGTGAGTTGTGTGATCAGTCTTTTGACAAAAATATTAGGCTTTCTTGAGTGAGCCGCTTCAACTTCACTCAAGGTCAGTTGTTTGACTCAGACCCCTTCACACCTGTGTGAACCCACACTTACTTGACCCTGTTCTTTGAATGTTCACTGGAAAGGTAGGGGAAGTTGTGTTTGTTTGCACGTGTGACTGAAAGTCTGACATGAGTTTGGGATTGCATTGTTTTCTCTTGAACTTGTTGTTTGATCTCATGTGCAGGTAAGTAGAAGGATGCTTGGAAAATGGAGATTTAATCATGTCAGCGAAAGTGAATGGAATGATGATTGTTTTCTATCTTTTGCTTGCATGCATGTTGAGGGGATGAGAAGACAGCAGACGACGAGGAACGG